AGTCAGCACCCAGTACCATTGCAGATCAGTGTAGAAGTCAGCACCCAGTACCACTGCAGATCAGTGTAGAAGTTAGCACCCAGTACCACTGCAGAGGACAGTGTAGAAGTCAGCATCCAGTACCACTGCAGATCAGTGTAGAAGTCAGCACCCAGTACCACTGCAGAGGACAGTGTAGAAGTCAGCACCCAGTACCACTGCAGATCAGTGTAGAAGTCAGCACCCAGTACCACTGCAGATCAGTGTAGAAGTCAGCATCCAGTACCACTGCAGAGGACAGTGTAGAAGTCAGCACCCAGTACCACTGCAGAGGACAGTGTAGAAGTCAGCATCCAGTACCACTGCAGAGGACAGTGTAGAAGTCAGCACCCAGTACCACTGCAGAGGACAGTGTAGAAGTCAGCACCCAGTACCACTGCAGATCAGTGTAGAAGTCAGCATCCAGTACCACTGCAGAGGACAGTGTAGAATTCAGCATCCATTACCACTGCAGATCAGTGTAGAATTCAGCATCCAGTACCACTGCAGATCAGTGTAGAAGTCAGCACCCAGTATCACTGCAGATCAGTGTAGAAGTCAGCATCCAGTACCACTGCAGATCAGTGTAGAAGTCAGCATCCAGTACCACTGCAGAGGACAGTGTAGAAGTCAGCACCCAGTACCACTGCAGATCAGTGTAGAAGTCAGCACCCAGTACCATTGCAGAGGACAGTGTAGAAGTCAGCACCCAGTACCACTGCAGATCAGTGTAGAAGTCAGCACCCAGTACCACTGCAGAGGACAGTGTAGAAGTCAGCACCCAGTACCACTGCAGATCAGTGTAGAAGTCAGCACCCAGTACCACTGCAGAGGACAGTGTAGAAGTCAGCACCCAGTACCACTGCAGAGGACAGTGTAGAAGTCAGCACCCAGTACCACTGCAGATCAGTGTAGAAGTCAGCACCCAGTACCACTGCAGAGGACAGTGTAGAAGTCAGCACCCAGTACCACTGCAGATCAGTGTAGAAGTCAGCACCCAGTACCACTGCAGAGGACAGTGTAGAAGTCAGCACCCAGTACCACTGCAGAGGACAGTGTAGAAGTCAGCATCCAGTACCACTGCAGATCAGTGTAGAAGTCAGCCTCCAGTACCACTGCAGAGGACAGTGCAGAAGTCAGCATCCAGGCTGAATCTGAAAAATATGAAGCACAGATGAGGAAGTTTCTGGTTTGCAACAGGTGGTTTGTGCATCAGGGAGAAGATCAAAGTGCACTGAACAAACACCAAGCAGGACCAGGAATCTGGCAAAGGAGTCTGGCTCCTGCCAAGGCTCCAGGATGCAAGATAAAGGACAAATAGCTTTGTGGATTCCTAGCTTTCTTGACCTTCCCCTTCACCTCCTACCCGCAAGGCTACAGACAAAAATCTTAGAATAGCCTTAACTGAACTTTAGATGGAGGTTATAAAGAGGGCTGTTATATTCAAGTTTTAATTGCCCTCTTTGTTCACATTGTCATTAAATAATTGATCCCATTATTTGACTTAAACAAATATTTGCTTGGTTCTATTTACCAGACACTGCTAAGAGCTCTGGGGGACTTAAAGATGGTGCCTTAGAGTTTCTATTGCTGTGATAAAGCACTGTGACCCAGAGCAACGTGAGAAAGAATGGTTTGTTTTGCTTCCTCTTCCACATTGCAGTCCATCACTGAAGGAAGCCAGAGCAGGAACTTAAACAGGACGCGAACCTGGCCATGCAGAGGCCATGGCGGAGCCTGGAGGAGCTCTGCTTCCTGACTTGCTGTCCAGCTTTTGTTCAGCCTCCTTTCTTAGCCCATTCAACCTGCCCAGAAGCGGCACTGCCCACAGTGGGTTGGGCCCTCCTGTAGTTTCTAATAATAAATTGCTCCATGGTTTACCCCCAGGCCAGCCTTATGAGGAGTTTTCTCAGTTGAGATACCTCTTCTCAATATCTCTAGCTTATGCCACATTAAAAACAAAACATCTTACATAAAATCCACTTATTCAACCATTTAACATATAGTTTTCCAAATACTTCCTCTGGGGCAGGTTCTAAATATTTGGTGCTGAGTTTACACCAGAAAACAAGATTCCTAAGTTTATAGAGTTGGCAGTGCCATAGGTGTACCAGTTACTGGCCTGGTTACACAACCATACAACAAATAAATCTCAATGGGAACATACCCAACAAGGGTTGCAGGCAGGGACTTAAGTTTACTAAGAAGATATTTGCCTGGGAATGAGGGAAGGCTGGGGGAAAGAATACTGTTCAAAATTGGCTTGAAGAAGGCAGAGAAGGAAGAAATCTGTGTTTCCAGTCACAAGGGCTAGCCAGGAAAGCCAGGGGTGAACATGGGGAAGACAGAGGGCCAGATGTGTTCAGTGTATGCAATTGACTTGAGAGAGGCTAGAGACAAGCGGTAAATGTGGCAGGCTTTCCTTTGGGCCCCCTACCAGTCCCCAAATTATGACACGGAGACTTTACTATTAGCCAAGAATGTTGGGCCTTAGCTTATGTTTGTCCCACTAGCTCTTATAACTTTGTCGTCCTCTACATTTTGCCTCAGGGCTTTTTACCTTTCCTTCATTCTGTGTGTCCTGCTTTCCTGCTTCCTCTGTGTTTGGCTGCCTGGTAACTGCCTGCCTGGCAGGCCCAGGGCATCTCCCTCTTTTTATCCCCCATTCTCTTTGTTCTCTCCAGCCTTAGATTCCTCCTCTCTCTGCCCACCAGCTCCACCTAGCCCTCTACTGCCTAGGTATTGACTGTTCAGCTTTCTATTAGACTGATCAGGTAAGCCTTAGGCAGGCAAAGCCACGTGTCTTTACATTGTTGAACCAATGCGGCATAAACAAATGTAACACATCTTTACATAGTCAAACAAATCCAGCATAAGCAAATGTACCACATCATTGCCTAGTTAAACAAATATTCCACAACAGGTAAAGGCTTGCAGCAGCCAGATCATTCTGAGGACTGAGAAGAGCTTAAGGAAGTCAGGAGATCGCAAGTAAATTCACAAAGAGGTACTTCCTAAACTTTATCTTGGCAAACATCCTTGCTCAGTAAGAGTCTGTGGTTCAAAGGATTGGCTCCTCCTCCTGACATGTGGCTACTGGCCTTTGAAGGGCTGAATGCAGCTAGATCATCATTTAGGGAAGAGCTGAAATGTCAATATTTAACTAGCAGTCAGACACTCTTAAATTAATTGCATTCGTGTCCAGTATTTTTTTGTGAAGACATCCCAATCTTGTTCCATCAATCAACATCGACTCCAAGCAGTTAGGAAGTGAAATCCCAGAAGCTGGTCTCATTGAACATTTGAGGAGAAAGTCGAGTACCTGCCAGACATGCCCCTCCCCCATTTCTAGAGCCCTTCTCATGATGAACGCTGGAGAAGGTCAGGAGTTGCCGCCTTTGCATGGTTTTCTGATCCCGAGGCCCTTTTTCCACGTCTCTTTATGGACTATAGTCTCCTTTTGTCTGGAGCCCCGTCTAGGTGTCCTCTCAGATTTTTCTAGAATGGAACTTCAGTTGGGGTCATCTACCCGTCCTCCCTGTAGGACACAGCTGCCTCCAATTTGGTTTTCTTTGCTCTGTGTACCTGGACTTAGCGTAGTGGAAGAGGGGGTACCTAGCTGCCCATTGAATGGCTTCTGGCCCCCATTTTTAGGACAAGAAGCTCCAACAAATCTAGTTGTTCATGCAGTAACCCTGAAAGCAGAAGACCTGGGGTGGTGTCACAGAGGTGGTACCACTGCCCTCTCCATTCTGCAGCCTGGTGGAAATGAACTCCAAAGGGCCGCACAGTTGGAAAGAAACGCATACAGGTTGAGCCTTTGAAGCCCAGAGATGTGAACTCAAGTTTTAGCTGTGCGGTCGTAGATCTGGCCAGTGCAGAGGCCGGAGTTGAACTTGGTTGGCAAAGTTAATCTGTCTTCATTTGCAAAATGGCTAACGGTGCCGTTGCTCCTAGCCCCTGCGGTCAGCAACAGGAGGCTGAAACCTTGACTGAGACGCAGATCTGTCAGGTCTGTAGCGCCTATGACCCTGTGATTGTATGGCCTTTTAATCGTCTTTAATCCATTTTACCGACTCAGTGGTGGTGACTACGCGGGCTGTGCTGTGTTCTGTAACGTTGAGAACTGGAGCTAGGATTACAACGTTATCTCAGCCCTGAGCCCAACCAGGACTACGCTGCCTGCCCCTCCTCTGAGTCTGCAGAAGCCTAGGGTCAACTGTGCAGCTCTCCTCTCAGAAGAAATGTCTGACTCGTTCTGACCTTAGGAGATTTCAATTGCATCTAGATGTCTAGGGCACAACTTGTCAGAGCCCGAGAGAACACGAGGCAAGAAAACACCTGACTCGCGTTACTGCCTAAGGTCAACACTCCTCATGCCTCAGTAGTTCTGGGGCTGGCCGGAGGGCTTGGGTGTTTTGTTTTCATGGAAAAAAGTACCCTGAGACGAAGAGAAGAGCCATCAAAGCCATGCAGAGGGACTGGCCACCTGAGCTAAATCTGCCAAAGCGGGTGCTGAAGTGGTGGACAGAGGTCAGCTTGGTGGAGACAGCGCAGAGCAGGACAAGCTGCAGTCTGGGTTTGGATGAAGGGACCAGACTGCTTGTCAGCCGATCCCACCTTGTAGTTCAGTTTTTCTCTTGGTGTTTTATAAGGTTTCTTCTAAACCTCCCTCACCGTTAGGAAAAAATACTTTCCAGAAATCAGATGTAAAAGCAGTGAGCATCTTGGTTCTGTACTGGGAGCATTTTGTGGGCCCTGCTGCTGAGAAGTCCTCGCATACTGGCTAAGGTCAGCAGTGCACCAGCCACAAAGACCTGTTCTTATCTGGTGTTTGCCTTGGAACCTGTAGGGCTGTTGGGAGAAAGGAAAACACTCAGATGTAGCAAAGAGAAACAATAACTCTAATCACATAACCCGCTTTTTCCCTAATGGTCCCTTATCGTCAGAGAGCTGGGAGATTGAGAACTATATAAACTGGACTCAGGAAGTCAATGGGTCATAGAAATCGTATCATGCATGCCGTTGCATAAAGCCCGAGAGACAACATGAAAGGCCTCGTGAGTACATTTTAACTCTGAATATGTCGAAACAGCCAAGGAGGTCTGCTTTCTCCCTTCTCCGAGAACTCTTCCAATTCCAGCTATGATTTGGCGTGTAATCTTCCGCTGGTGATTGTCTGTTTGCAGAATTTGAGTGAACGGTGTTTTCTGCCAGAATCAATAGCTAACTTCTTTAAAGCCCAGACTCTTTGGGGGTTAGAGTCCTGTCTTCAGGGGTGTTTCTTAGTTACAAATCGCCGGTGGGAAAATGACAGATATACGTGACATCAGCTGGGATAGTGTGTTTTTGTTCCTTTGGATTTTTTTGAGACAAGGCCTCATTCTGTAGTCCAGGCTACCATGCACTCCTTACAACTAGACTCCAACTTTCAAAATCCTTCATCTTAGCCTCCCAGGCCCTGCCATTAACAGCGGGCATGACCATGTCAGGTTTCAATCATCTAGTAAAGCGGTCCTGCCCTCTGCAGCTCCCGGGTCTGGTGGCAAAGCTCATTGCACTGTGGCAATAGTGATGTTGTAGAACAGCTGTTTCCTTTGCCTTTGAGGTGTAGCTTGCCTTTATTATTGAAACTGAATGCAGACTTTATATGGGTGTGCAGAGAAAGGAAGACTTTCTTATCTTCTTATCAGTTCCACTTGATAGGATGGGTGCACTTGAGCTGGGCGAGCCTCAAGTCCATGATAGACTATGGCTAGCTTATTGTAGTCCCCCAATTCCTTCATTAATGTCTGATAGAGAGAAGTCCCTCCATCAGCAGGGTGCGGCACACAGAGGAGATAAGCAACTGAAATATTTAAGGCCCCATTACATTCTAACATAATTGCCCACCCACAATAGTGTGGGAATGGTGGTGAGTAGCTTTTCTTCTTAGACAAGGTAAAAGAATCTGGAGGAAAGGAAACCTGGAGAGAATTAGATTCCAGAGGGGGTGAGGATGGGCAGGGGATGGACCAGAATCAACTGTGAGCTTTAGGATTTGGGTGAAGAGCCGGAGCAGAAGGTGCGCCCCGCCGCAGAAGAAGAGAGGATGGTGCAAAGAGGAACAGTGGGAGCCTGAGCTATTGTGGCCCAGGCTGGCCCTGCCCTGTGAGCCAATCAGAGCCTATAAGGTTAGCTAAATCTATTCCAGCGGCTGACGGTGGAAGCTACACAGGACGTATCCTCAAGTGACTGACGCAGCTTTTCTTCCTGAGCAGTGGGCACCCTGTCTGAGGACAGTATACTATGGTCTCATGACACATTCGGGGCCCCATGAGCGAAGGCCAGAGTTATAGACCCTCATTGGAAGGATCCGTCCTGTAAGGCAGAGTCTGAAGTCTAAGCTCGCCTGAGGCTAAGGACAAGTAACATTGACCTTTGTTCCATTTCAGACTGCATCTTCCTTTCTTGTGACCATCTTCCTAGTTCCATCTCTGGCCCTGGTGGTGAGTATGCTGGAGAGGGCCCAGTCTGCCTATCCCTCTGCTAGCACTGGCATTTCAAAGCTAACTACCAAGGGTGGCATTCCCATTATTTCTCGTGGATTCCCTTTAACCCTACCAGGATAGACAGGTAGACACTTGGAGCCAGTGACTTTTTCACTGTTCATCGGTCTTTTCTAGAACACCAGTGACAGTCATTCTCTGGATGGCTCTGTGGGGACCCAGGCCATCCATGTTGATGCCCTCCGAGGTCTGGTCAGTATCCAAGACAACAATGTTCTGAGCGAATGGAATGGAATCGTGGACTACAAGAATGTAAGATGCCAAACACGCTTATTGCAGGAACTCTCAAGTGATCCAAGCAGACCAGACTGCTTTTCCATCTTCGTTGTCCTCCTCTGAGACTGGGGTGTGCTACTAAAGCTGCTTTGTCTTAGCTCTGTATTGTGATGCTGACTTCTAAGGGATTGGTGCTGTGAACTAGCATCTCTTTCGGTAGTAAGAGCAATTAGAACGGCACATGATCAGGAGGAGAAACCTGCTGCTTTGGCAGAACTCTAATAAAATGTTCTGTGACCATAGAGATATGTTTATGCCTGCCATGGCTCAGTGTCCATATCAGCAGAACAGCTCCAACAGCGGCCTCCCCCACCTAGTGGGACTTGGAAGGATGGAATGAAGCCAACACCCACACTTTAACCCTGCCCTCTGCTCCCCAGGCCCTCTTCAGCCAGCTGTCACCTTCTTGTCATGTTCTCTTCCTTGAATACCTTCTCTCTTTTCTCCTCCCCACTTTTAAATCCTCAAGGAGATTCCCTGAATCCTCCTAGAAAGCTCCCAGGCCACAGACTGATTGACTTTCATGGATGTTGTTAAAACCCAAGAAAAAATTTCCTCACACAGTATTCTACCGTAGGCCGCTAGGTGGCGCGAGGAAGGCGAAACTATTGCTAGAGGCTTAGCTTCTTGCAGTTGAGCCTGGGGTAGCAAATGGCACCTCTGATCTAAGCCAGGAAAGGAATATCGTAGGCCACCAGAAAGGGGCATCCAAGACAGACCTAGCTCTAGAATTCAAGTCGCAGTCATGATACAGGCCTTCTGACTGCCCTGGGTTTTCAGAGAGCCCGCTCCAGTTTACACAACATTCTCCCAGGTAGGGGGATCTCAGATCCCCCCTCAACTTCATGGCAACTCCATGAAAGAAAGGCCAGTCCTCCTGCCTTACAGATAGAGAAACTGAGGCTCAGGGAGGCCATGGAGGATCCCAAGAGCTGTTGAACAGCCAGCCAGGTCCTTAAGATCACCTGTATTGTTGTAGTACCATCCTGCACAGCCAGGCACCCACATCCTGATGTTGGCATCAGAACACCCTGGGAGAGAAAACCTTCACCATCAGGAGCAGAGGAGATGGCTGCACTGGGCCTAGGGAGCGGCAGGGCTCACAACCACACTGCTCCCAATGCTGCCTTGTGCCCTGGCTTCCAGCAGCACCGCAGTCAGACTAACAGGGTCTGGACACCTGAGAGGAGCGAGTGCGTTAGTACTGGGACTGATTGAATGCCATGTTTCTGCTGTTGCTTTAAGGCCCTCCTGGCAGCTAAGCTGTTTAGTAAGATGGCCTGTGTCCTGGCCAAGATGGACCTGACAGTCTTCCCAAGTTTGGATGATATTACCCAGGCCCTGGGCACACAGGTGAGTCCAGTTCTCTCTGATAGTCATCAACTACGGGGTTTTCCAACTTACAGCCAGTCTCCTGGACAGTGCTCACTCACAGGAGCTTCCTCTGTACCTATTCTTCATGCCATGAAATCACGTCATGGGCAAAGAACTCGAGGACATCAGCCGCCCTCTCAAGGCAAGCCACAGTGGAATCAGTGACCTCATTTAGATGCATTCCCAATGGGCTCGAACTGTGCTAGAGAAGACAAGTGGTTGGATGTAAGCTTTGCAGTGATTTCATGTCCCCTGCCTCCTCTCCTCCCTGTCTTTCCTGACCTACCACACACACGCACACACATGTGCACACACATGCACACACACGTACACACACTCATACACACAATGCACACACAATGCACATACACTCATGCACACATGCACACACATACACGCACATGCACACACATGTACACACTCATGCACACACGTGCACACACATGTACACACTCATGCACACACATGCACACACATGTACACACTCATGCACACACATGCACGCACATGCATACACATGCACACACATGCACACACTCATGCACACACTCATGCACACACATGCACGCACATGCACACACATGAACACACATACACACACTCATGCACACACATGCACACACACACAAATGCATGAACATGCCCATACACACTGTTATCATTGCCATCACCGACATCTTTAATTGCAGTCAAGCCCAAAAGTGCTGAAATTCTTGCCTGCCCTCTCCAATGGGACAGGAACTGTTGTTAATAGGAATAAATTAAAACCCAGGAAGAAACCCTTGGCGACTCAAGGACTCTGCTCAAACTTTGCTTAAATATCAGCACATTTGAACAGTACTCAGGACTGGGGTTGTGGTAGAAACTCTGGGAAAGAAATAAAAGTGTGTTAAAGCAACGCTTTTTTAAAATGAAGTCGGGGTGGAGAAATGGCTCAGAGGTTAAGAGTTCGTGCTGCTCTTGCAGAGAAACCCGGTTTGGTTTCCAGCCCCCAGAGAAACCCGGTTTGGTTTCCAGCCCCCAGAGAAACCCGGTTTGGTTTCCAGCCCCCAGAGAAACCCGGTTTGGTTTCCAGCCCCCAGAGAAACCCGGTTTGGTTTCCAGCCCCCAGAGAAACCCGGTTTGGTTTCCAGCCCCCACAAGGTGACTCACACCAGACTGTAACTTTAATTAAACACTCAGACATATAAAATTAGAATACATAAATCTATAAAAGAGGAGTTGAAAATGTCCCATTCATCTAAATTGACAAAATATAAAGGCAACAAGCTACTCTATCGTTTTGGTTCAGAAAACATCTAAAGCTGATAGGAAATGCCGCTGGGACACATACAGATTTTTACCAGAGTCACTTTCGTCCTCTTGTGGCTTGATAAAATATTGCATCTAAAGGAAAGCAATTCTGGGCTCTCAGTGGACCTGAATCGCCCCACGCACCTTCACAACTTGCCTGTGAGTCCCTTCTTTGATATGCCATGCCTGAGACGCCCCCATCTTCCAGGATTCCGGTCACTACCCACCCACCCGCGGACTGACCTACACGGTTTTACCCAGCCGAGTCAAAAACTTGGCCCAGTACGGAGTGCCTGTCCAAGACCTGTGCAGAGAAGTCCCCGCCTACTTTGCCCAGCAACAAAAAGAAGGTATGTTCAGAAACCAAAAGAAGGTGCCATGTGAATCAAAAGATGCAGTCTGAGTTTCAGTACCTATCAGCCAGCTGTAATGACAGCTGATCCATTGCTTCCCTGGCCTGGGATGTATTTGGGGCTCGTGGGGAAGGGAAACAGCCAGTCATCTCCTCAGGGATCCGCTGGCCAATGGTCATCCTGCCCCGATTCAAGCTTTGCCATGCCCACTGTAGGGGAAGGCCTGCAGCTTTGGAGTCCTTAGTCCTACTCTTTCTCAAGGCACGTGGAGCCTAACGGTTATTATAGACCACACTGGAAATAGCACAGCTGATGGCTGAAGTGTGAGGGAGATCAGTGACCCGAAGAGACTAGCTAGCAGGGCTAAGATTCCAAGATCTGCCTATGAGTCCAGATTCAGTCAGCAACATAGCTGTTGCCACTCTCTTATCCACAAGTCAGAGTTCTTCAGAACAGACGGTCCAGGAGAGAAACAGGACATGTCAGGCTAGGGGATTAAATGCACAATAAAGGAAGAGTAATAAAGAAAGATGGTTACTGCAGAGGCTGGAGAGAGGGGCCGGGGTGGGCCTGCGCTGACCTGAGGGTCCATAACGCAGGTGCCTGGTGTAAGGATGACTCTGGCCTTCTCTCTAAAGTGTGGTTCCCTTTTCTTGAAGGTTCCGCCCTGGACATGGACCCACAATCCTGTTCTGAGCTCCAATTTCTCTCCTTCATGGGACTGTCCATCTGTGGTGAGATCCCTGGGCTCTGAACCCTACATTAGCCATGTGAAGACTGGACTTGCCTGCTCCAGCCTCTGCCTGTGGGAAGCAGCCCTTTCCAGTCCTCTACCTTCTGGCTTTCCATTCAGCACTAACTCTGTAATCTGGGGAGGAGGGAGGTGCAACTTCTACCTTCTAGGAAAAAATAATAAAGTTTCCATGTCACTGGCTAGCAGACAGCTTCCCTCAACTCTGCAGGCCCCCTCATCCCCTGCAGGCTCCCTCATCCCCTTCAGGCTCTCTCATCCCCTGCAGACCCCCTCTTCCCTTGCAGGCTCCCTCATCCCCTGCAGGCTCCCTCATCCCCTGCAGGCCCCCTCATCCCCTGTAGGCTCCCTCTTCCCCTGCAGGCTCTCTCATCCCCTGCAGGCTCCCTCATCCCCTTCAGGCTCCCTCATCCACTGCAGGCCCCCTCATCCTCTGCAGGCCCCCTCATCCGCTGCAGGCCCCTTCATCCCTTGCAGGCCCCCTCATCCCCTTCAGGCCCCCTCTTCCTCTGCAGGTCCCCTCTACCTCTGCAGGCCCCCTCTTCCCCTGCAAGCCCCCTCTTCCCCTGAAGGCCCCCTCATCCCCTGCAGGCCTCCTCATCCCCTGTAGGCTCCCTCTTCCCCTGCAGGCTCCCTCATCCCCTGCAGGCTCCCTCTTCCCCTACAGGCTCCCTCATTCCCTGCAGGCCCCCTCTTCCTCTGCAGGCCCCCTCATTCCCTGCAGGCCCCTCTTCCCCTGCAGAATCCCTCATCCCCTCTGCACTGCCAACCACGTGCAGTCCAGCGCATCCTACAGCATGGAGGTGGCTCCCCCAGAACCTTTCATCTCTGAGTCTCTTTAGACTATCCCTTGAGAAGTTTTGACAATAAATGAACAAACCACCAATAGCACCCAGTCTGGATGGTCAGACCTGAGGTTGTGCTTGTCTCCTGAAAACTGGGACTGAGGCTACTGGGCTGTCTCTTTCTTGTGACAGTGACAACCCATAGAGTGATCTGGAGCCTCCCTCTAGAACTCTAAGCCAGGAGCAGGGACCCTTAGATATCTGTACCCATTGCAAACGCATAAGGATCCAGAGACTCAGCCCTCAGTCTGGAACTTGCAGTCTCCATCATTAGCCCCTCCTCCCACGTGAGGTCGCCTAATTCTCTGCATCACTCCTGTTCCTCGGAACCTTGGGGACAAGGTTTCCAAGTTCCTTCTAGAGTAGGGTACATATCACAAAGCAGAGGGAGATGGAGGCTCATACCCTACTGGCATGGCTCAACCCCAGCACCTGGACATTTTCACACATTGTATACCTTATTTAAAGGCCTTCTATATATTAAGGTCAACATTGCTTGGTTCCCCACTGTGCCCGTGAAAGGAACAAACACACAGATGTCTGTAAATATATCATTTATATGTCATTATTGAATCTCATAAGCAGATGGAATGCTGGGAAGAATCTAGTTTGGCTTCTGAGTGGAAATCAAAGGTGTATTTCTTTGGAAAGATGAAATCAACTGAGGGACCATCTTAGACGTGAGTTCCTGCGCAGAAGGAGAAGCCCAGGAGCCCCAGAAGGCCGACCTTTGCACAGGCTCCAGTGGCTACCTCTTCTGAAAATGGGAAAATGTAAATAAATGGCATTTAAAATGTGCTTCAATACAGCAAGTCAATATTTTCAAGGGGTCCTGATGGGTAGGGCGTTGTAATTTCATAGCGTCAAGATTTTAGCAATAGATATCTATATTACTACTACTACTAATGATAATAAAAATAATAAATTAACTTACATAAGACCAACAAGTCTACTGGATCTCGGTGGGCGCCGTGTGGCTCCGCACTGGCAGCATGCCCTCCTGCCTCTCTAACATCTAGGAACGCTGTCAGTCTGAGCATAACACACAGCAAATGCTAACACTGTCTTCTTCACCTCCCACTACTCTGACAAATGTCTTTTGTTGAGTTCATTGTCCACTGCTCTGGCCACTTTGCCACAGTCAGTGCAAAATTCAGGTATGATCACAGTGTCCTGTGACACCCAGCTGCTGTCCCCTGCCTGCCCACTCACTCTGTCTTCTTTCCCCTGAGCCCCTTAGGCCAGATCCTGGCGCTACTCCTAACATTTCTAGAGAATCCTACTTGAAAGGTGCTCCGGAAGTGCTTATCTCCCTGGAGCACTTATATGTGAACCGCGACGACCCAGGGTTTTCCTTGAGGAGCCCTCCCTACCCCATTTGTCATTTTCAATGATTCCCTTTCCCATGGCACTGAGCCCCCAGGAGGCAAAGTTTTACCTCTGTATTCCTGACATCTCTAACAGTTAGTTCACGTAGTATAACTTCAATTCCTAAAGCAAACTGAACTAAGTCACATTTTCACTTAGGCAAATTTCACACAGCCGCGCCACCCCCACCTCCCAACGGCGTGGTACACAGCAGCTGCCAGAGCTTGGTTAGCCACCTTGGTACTCACCGGGCGACTTTGTAACCACCTCCCCCTTATACAGGGGGACATGCTTGCACAAATGTTCAATGGGCGACCCAAACAGGAACCAATCCGCCTTCAAGAGCAGAGACTTCAAAGGGTTGTACTTGACCCAGGTGTACTCTGTGGAGTCCATGACTCTCATTGTCTAGGTGACGTAACAGAGAACAGGGTTGACGGAACCGGAAGCCCACTGAACCTGCGTTTAGCTGTGAATGGCTTTCTCTGGTCAGTGGTTAGATAAAGGGCATTCAGAGATTTCAAGTCATGGTTTGCTGTGACTACTCTGCCTAGAGGAGACGCTCTTTTTTACCCACAGTATTCCACTGCAATACACCCACAGAAGGTAAACCCCCTGAAAGGGGAGAGGCAGGTGAGACAGTGTAGTCAAAGCCAAAACTAGGTATCCAGCCCCGCTGCACTGGGTGGAGAGTCTCACACTGTGGTATTGTTTGTCTGTATCTTTGTATCCTTCAATATCATTTTCAAGCAAATGACATATCTTAGATCTCACCTCCAAGAAGAAAAGTTCACCAGCCCCCTCTGCAAAGCCAGTTCTTATCAGTTTATGTTTTCAGGGCTCTATGATGGAAACCGAGCTCCCCCCGTGTGAGAACACATTAGTAAGCTGAGCATCGTATACATGGAAATAGAGGTTGGAGTCTACTGTCCCTTTCACCTCTCTCTGTGGGCAGCAGCCTGCGCTGGCTCAGGAGCAGACTTTTCGAGGACTCCCAACCTACCTGCGTCTCGTAGATGTACCGCTGGAGTTTGTCCAGAGCCGGGATGGCTTTGTGGTCCATCTTGAGGATGTAGCAGGCTCTTCGGGAGAGCACTCGGGATGCTATGTAGCCCTGAAGGAGCAACAGCACGGTTACTGACCCTTAAAGTTCTGGGATCCTGATTGGATGAGATTGGCATCGAGTCTTAGAAGAAAGGATTGAGTTCATCATGAGTTAATGTCATTTTGAAATTCTGCCCACTCATCTTTGATAGGGAGTTTTGTTTCCCTACTTGCCTCTGTACACCTGCGAAGTTGGCATGTGCTCTGTGTTCTGGAAGCTGGGTCTGCAGCTAAGGGTTTAAAGACTGAGGAGGAATGGCTGTCTGCCTCTTCCTTTGTGTTTTAGCCTGTTCTTCCATCCTTACTACAACAATATCCTTCAGAACCGTATCATTCAATACCATAACGGCTCCACATTTGGCGACTTAAATTCAAATCCAGTGAAACTTACCACTTATTTCACAATGGATTTTGAGTACACAAGTAGCCACAATGACTAGAGGCTTCCCTTCTAGAAAATTCAAACATAGAACATCTCGACCTGGCTTGACATTCTGTAAGTCTCCTAGGCATGCTGACGCCTACCCTCACCCCACACAACTTTACCTGTTCTCCCTCCTTTTCCCTCTTCTCCATCCTTTCTCTGCCTCAGACTCTATCCACCACATGGAGAGGGTGGCCGGAGGAGGCTGAGGAGCACAGGGATGTTGAGGATTTGATGTGAGAAAGAATCAAAGGTCATCACATTTTGACCTTGAATGGAAAATTTCTGTGATGTTTCAAATACTTAAAAATTATTCTGCTTCTGACTTTTCAACCTCAAAAGTTCTTAGTACCTAAAGTTTGACAATAGATGGAGGCACCGAGGCTGATGAAGAAGGAAGGGGCTTAAACAAAGTCTCCACAATTCAGTTTTTAAAAGTCACTTTTGGGATTTCCATGATTCCATTTAAAGATAGCTTTAGCTGCACTTCCTGTTGAGGACTTCAAAACTCTCCACTCAGAAAGTGATGTAAAACTCCCAGCAGTGCCAGGAGGAATGCATCTGGGGAGCTTTAGAAGAAAAGGGAAAAAACCAACTTCAGACACACATTGTTGGTGTCCATGCTGGGTATCTCTGGGTAAGGCAGCCCATAATAAGTATTGGAAGAAAAAAATAGTAAAGTAATCCAAATCAGTAAATGGATGGAGGGAGTTTCTAAGACTTGTTACCCTGGTAACCAACACGGGGAAGGCCTCATAGCAAGTGTCATGTTGTAAGGTCTACAGAGATAATTTAAGTGTGTGCATTGTTCTGGGTTTCTGCTCATTTTCTGCATGTTTTGTATCAGAAGTTCTCATTTGCTTATCCAACAGGCATTTTCCTGTTTATGTTCTAAGCATTGCTTTGGCTGTTCTTCCAGTCCGTGTCTGTGCCAGAAGAGGGACAATGCCATCACTGTTGAGGAAATGTAGGGTTTTTTTCTTAGAGATGTTTTATTTTCTTTCTTGATCATTTAAAGGGAAAGGAAGATGTGAGGAAAAATTTAAGGACATGTAAAGACAGACAGTATAATTAAATGTGTCCCTCTACAAAGCCAATCCTACAGCTTGCTGCTTACATGCTTATAGTCAAAAATGGTGGTGGAAGAGCAGGACCCTGCATGGATGTTGACGGTGGCAGTGTTCTTCTCATTGTCAATGCTCACTGTCTCCTGGACGTTGCTGCCATTGGTGCCTGGGACGATGATGTTAAAAACCTAGAATTGACAACCAAGACAAAATCAGATTTACGTAAATAGTGTGCATTGGAAAGCAGCCCTTTTGCTGGGATAAACCTTCACTGTAAGTCCACCAGGATAAACCTGCACTGGGCAGTCCACCGGGATAAACCCTTCACTGTACGTCCACCAGGATAAACCTGCACTGGGCAGTCCACCAGGATAAACCTGCACTGGGCAGTCCACCGGGATAAACCTGCACTGGGCAGTCCACCGGGATAAACCTGCACTGGGCAGTCCACCGGGATAAACCTGCACTGGGCAGTCCACCGGGATAAACCTGCACTGGGCAGTCCACCGGGATAAACCTGCACTGGGCAGTCCACCGGGATAAACCTGCACTGGGCAGTCCACCGGGATAAACCTGCACTGGGCAGTCCACCGGGATAAACCTGCACTGGGCAGTCCACCGGGATAAACCTGCACTGGGCAGTCCACCGGGATAAACCCTTCACTGTACAGTCCACTGGGATAAACCTGCACTGGGCAGTCCACCAGGATAAACCTGCACTGGGCAGTCCACCAGGATAAACCTGCACTGGGCAGTCCACCAGGATAAACCCTGCACTGGACAATTCACTAGAAGCCCATGCCATGTTCGGGCTGAGACTGAATGCGAAGCTTTGCCCACTGGTTTGTTATATTATGTATGAGAGGTCGAAGTGAACTCTGAAGTTATGTCATCACAAGGGAAACGGGACTCAGAACATTTTAGTATGTTGGGTTACATTGTGGAGGCATTGGAAGCAGAAAGAAATAACCCCCCATCTTTCCCATTCCTGGGATTCCGTCTCAGTGAAGACGTGGACTACCCAGCCCTTGCACGGCCTGGCCTCTCATCTTCTCCCACAGCTCTAAGAAGCCAACTCACCTCTTCTGCCTGAGACTGAATTGCAAAGACGGATAGCACCACCAGAAATGCCACCTGAAAAACACATCAATTCTCTGTGGGGTTGTCACTCAATGAGGGGGCTCAGTAAGAGACAGAGGGTACCCAGGAACAACAGTCATTCCTTAGAGGTGGCCAGCAGTCTGCTTTTCGACTTTAAAAAGTAGAAAACGTACATTTACCCACTCGGCAGGCCCTCGTTGAGTTCATGTTATTTGTTAGACACATGGTGGACAGGTGAGCAGAGAAGGACTCTCTTATCAGGGGAAAAGCTGGCGCGAGTCACACCCACTTTGGGATTAGTGAATAAATTCTGTCCTCTAAGGGGAAAATTGTCAATTTCTTGAGACTGTGGTAATGAACCATTTAAAACAAACCCATGAGTGACGTGGTCACAATGGGTTTTTAAGGACAGCTATGGAAGAAAGATTCTAGTTAACCTTCGCAACCCTCTCCTCAGATCTCTCTCCTGGTGCCTGGGAGGAGGCTCTAGCAATAACCTATGTGCAGACGCCCTGCAGTCTGCTTTCATGGGGCTCCTCCCCACCTTGGGCTGGATACCTCAGACAACTCTGGAGCCTCAGACACTCCTGCATGTTCTATTCAGTGGGTCTGGACTAGAAGTTGGGATAAGTGAATCCACTGACCATCTCGGTGGATGCCTAGCAAGAGCACAGGATGTGTCCTTGGCCCCCAGATCCCTCCTACCCTCCAAGGTTGGCACAGCTTGACCCTAAGTGTGCACTTAAGGCTTAGATCTCCTTCTGAGAGGGGACACTGTCCATCTGACAGTCTTTGTTCCTTTCGGGCTTCACAGTGTTCATCTTTCTCTGTTAGCAGGTGAGTGCAGCAAACAGAGGCAGAAGCTGGGACAGGGCTTCCACCCTGAATCCCAGCACACAGGTGGAGCCATGGAGTCCGGTATCAGTCAGGGTTGGGGGAAGTCACTGAAGGGCTCATTTTACCTTAATAAAGAGTTTAGACACCAGATCACTCTGGTTTCTTTAAGTTCACCTAGTTACTACTGCGCACGGGGCCCAAGACAGAGAAACCCCATCCTGAACTCCATGTTTACAGATCTGGAAAATTCAGTCCCCCTGTCTCAGTCTCCTCAACTTCACAACAAGGGCAGCAATGCGTGCTGTGCACTGTGGGCACAACAAGCAGAGGTGATTGTCCACGAGAAAAACTGGGGCTCAGCACAGTTTGGGGGTGGCCGCTCTCACTCTTATTGCAGACATTGTTTTTAAAGCACTTCTCTTCCGGATGACAAATGTAACTACTCTCAGATGCCTGCACCCCTCACAACGCCATGAGAAGAGATTGCTATTAAACAGCCTCCAAATAAAATCTCCACATATTTCCATTTTTTCTTTGTACATTTTGAGTAAACCCAAGAAATATAGGCAGTGGACATACAAATATTCAACATTATTCCTGGTCCCCTAACATCATAAATTCAACCCCAGAGGTATAGAAGGGCACAGTGTTTGTCTAAGACCCTTGAAGTTCACAGCACATTGGATACAAGCAGCAGAAGCAGAAGCTCAGAGAACATGAATGCATACTCACGGGGATTTTCATTTTGCCCAGAGAGAAGAAGCTGGAGTGAGTGCAGGCGCCTCTGCAGTGTCCAGTCTTTATATTGGCATGAAGAGGTGAAAACCTTTCTCCTGAGTGGTCATGTCAGAAAAGATCGAGCCCATTATCTGGGTCACACCTTGACAAACTCCCTAATCAGGATGGAGACCTAACCACATCCCAGGTATCAGTGAAGTTTGTTAATCAGTACTGAAAACTCCCCATTGGTCACTCTGCAAACACGCCTAGCTTATCTGTCCCAGTTGGGCTCCCACCCTGTAACAATACTACAGACACTTGCTCTTCCCACATAGACTTGGAAGGGGCATACTGGCTCCTTCTCCCGAATGTAAAGCCCTTAAGACTTAGGGCCCCACTCAGGGTCCCTTCACCACTGCCCTGCTTGTTGAATTTGTCTGCCTCAGCATCAGACATGCAAACAGAGGTGAGGATAGTGTTTGGGAGCTTGTTTTGGAATATGAACAGCCTGGTGGCTGTCTTTCCTTCCTTTCCAGTCAGCAGCAGTCTGCAGAGATACATGAGGAACAAAATTTGGGAGTCTACTGGCACTGACCCAATGTTTTAGGTGGACCCTGTCCAGGGCACCATGAACAATGGGGACACATCTCTTCTTACCTTAAGAAACTCTCAGATTTTGCAAAGATTGGGAAAGGAAAGCAAAGCTTAGTTTGAGTAAATTTTCCAGTTATAAGTTGCTAGTTAGATTGTGAGGACGGGGTCATGAACTTATCAGGCAACGGGGATTTTGTTTTTAACTCGACTGTAAATTGTGAAATACTGAGCAAGAAGCTAAAAGGAACAAGCAATGTTTTAAAGAAGAGAGTTTTTAGAAGTGGACATTGAGAGGTCCCTGGCTCTCCAGAGCTCCGCTGCCTTGGCTGCTCAGCAGGAATGAGGCAATGGGTGTGTCTTTTTTCTGAGATCACTGTGGCAGGAACGACTACAGTTCTACAGAACATCTGCCAAGGCTTTTCCATCCCTGACTCCAGTGGCCCCAAGAAGGCCAGGGTTCTCAACAGGATCGCCTCCAAACCTGTGGGTACCCGCTACCTCGTTTACCCATCCCCAGGAGCTCCAAGTCCGTAGTAGGCCTAATGATAACACTGCAAGTACTTATGGAACATGTCCTGGTGCTTTCTAAACACTTGGAGCATACTAATTCAGCAGTCCTTACGGTCCTGCTCCCATTTCCCAGCAGAAGCACCAAGATGCAGGGAAGTTAAAGTAACTAATTGCTTGGGACCACACAACTTCCAAAGGCGAAAGCTGAGGCTTGAATGTGATCTGGCGCCAAAGTTCACCGTCTTAGACACAAGTCCTTCCAGACTGTGGGAGGCAGCACAAGTTCTCGGCTTGCTGAAGTGGGCCAGGAGCAGGCTTCTGTGCCTAGATTGCTCCCAGCTCAAAGACAGCCTTGGAAATTGTGAGGCTTGGCCACAGCTCCACTGAAAACTTCACTAGGGGAATGTGAAGCTAGCTGCATGGACAAACATCGCTAAGGATGAACCCCTGCATATGCCTGCCAGTGCCACATACACGAGGGGCCTGTGATGAGCTCAGCCATGCCTGGGATCCGCTGCAGCCAGCAGGAGCGTGAGGCACTGCGGGTGTGGGGACTTCCAAAGCATTCACTTACGGGGCTGTTTCAACTCCCGCAGGCCTTGTTCTTTATAACTTCTGCTTTTAGTCTTGCTTAAAAAAATGTTACCAATGTCCTTAATGCATTTTCCTACGTGTTCTAAAAGTCCTGCTTTTCACATTCAATTTTACTATTACTTCTGAGTGTAGAGTGAGCCTTCAATACAGTGGTTTTTTCCACTTAGCCATCCAGTAGTTCCAACATCTGTTAGTAAATAGTGTAGCTCTTTGCCACTAACTTCTAAAGCCAGGCGGTTTCCATGGAAATAGCATCCTGCTTGCTACCTCCATATTTCATTGGTTTATTTAGTATTCAACAGTGATGGCTCCCAGGTCCACAGATGAATTCTGAAACCCAGTAGACAAAATCCCCCAGATGCTACTACTTCTAAATGTTCCTGCCATTCTGTGAAGTTTCTTTCTGTTTTCTCTGTCTTGATTCTTACAGAATTACTGTATTCTTTGTCTGACATCTTGAGCTGAACATTACTCTGTACATTGAGTCTCTCTTGTTATTTTAAATGGAAGCATTGGGAAATAATAGATTTACCACTAAGTACATTTTATTTTCTTCATGTAACTATTTTACCTTTTTAAAAGTTTCTTAATTCCTGTTGTGATTTTTTTCTCTTTAACCCAGTTATTAAGGTACTTTTTTTCAATTTCTTATATTCAGATGTGGAGCAATGGTATGAAGAAAACACACCCGCTCTTAACTTCTTCAAGCTGGCTGTAAGCACCCATGCTCATGGCTCTTGGGGAAGAGCAGCCACGTGGCCCTGTCCAGACGGGAGCGAGTGGGTTGCCCATCACCCCAGCGTCAGCATCACTGCGGGTCTAGGCTCTGGAAACATTGCCTTGCCTACATTTTTCTCTTTGTTCAGACTTTTAAAAACTCCATCAAGTATATAATCAAGTCAAGAACTCGGAGCTTGGCGTTTAATTCACTCTATAGTCTTCCTCCAAAGGAACCTGGAAAGTGAGATGTGAGAAGTTGCTACAGATCTTGACTGTACCTCAAAAGCCAGGTGTTAGGGGCTGGGTCCCCAGCATGTCATGCTATGGAGGCCAAGGCAGGAAGTGAAACAGTTATGAGGTGGGGCCTAGTGTAGGAAGTTAAATCAGTAGGGGTGTGTCCTTGAAGACAGGCTGTTGAGACCCTGGTGTTCTCTCTCCCTCCCTCTGTGTGTGTGCGTATGTGTGCACGCGCACACACACACTCTCTCTGTTGTCTCTCTCTGTGTGTGTGCGTGTGTGCGCTCCCTCTCTCTCTGTTGTCTCTCTGTGTGTGCATGTGTGTGCTCTCTCTCTCTCTGTTGTCTCTCTGTGTGTGCATGTGTGTGCTCCCTCTCTCTCTGTTGTCTCTGTATGTGTGTGCATGTATGTGCTCTCTCTCCGTGTTCTCTCTTTATGTGTGCTCTCTCTCTCCATCCATCCATCTCTCCATTTTCCAGCTTCCAAAAAATGAAGAGAGCTCCTCTGCCATGTGGTCTCATCACGATTCACAAGGTCACAACAATCTCAAAGCAAGGAGCCAAGGAGCCATCACCTGAAAGCCATGAAACAGCGCTAAAATGAATCTTTCGTCCTTTGAGGTTATCATCTCAGGCATTTTGTCGCAGTGACAGAGAACTGGGTAACACGGAAGGGAATCATCTAAATGAAGGAAAGGAAAGGAGCCTGTGGGAGCAGAAAGAAGCTTATGTACCTAGCTGAGCGGCCACTCGTCCCTCCACTCCCATTCCCCCTCCCAGCAGGCCACACACTGCTAACCTCCTCCCACTGTTCTCCTCCTTCCACGCTCCGCTTGCCATTGCCTGTCCTCTCCTCTCCACCCCGCTGTCACTTCTTTCTCCTTTTCCCCACACTATGTCAGTGGTGACCACTGGAGAAGTGGTCTCATGCCCCAAACCAAGGATCTCTGAGAATTGTCTGCCACCAGAAAATGTAAGACACTATTAAAAACAGTAAATGTGAATGTATGGGATTAGGATTGCACAAGAATACAGAACCTAAACTGCACTGGCCTAGTGTATCAACTATAAACAAGAAAAATTATGATTATAGTGTTCATTGTTTTCTATGAAAATAACTCGTTTCCTATGATGACCCTAAAGTCTCTCTCATGACCCTCAGCTGGAGAGAATGAGCTGAGAACTCCTCACATCGCCTTCAGACATTGACAGGATGATCAGCAAAATGCACCAGGAGCAGTAAGCTCAGAATGAGGCCTCCCTAAAATCATTGCTATTACTATAGACAAAGTAACCATAGAAATCATCAGAGAATTCAGGACTCAGGCAGAACTATTAATGTAAAATAAAAGTAAGATGTCTGGAAAAATTTGCAAGTATATTAAGTTTAGAAATCAATTTTAAATAAGCCATAGGTTAAAGAGGAACCCATATGGAAATTAAAGACATTTTTAATTAAATGGATGTCAATGCTTATGTTAGGATACTTGCCTTAAGAAAATTGAAAACAGGGGCCAGAAAGATGGCTCAGTGGTTAAGAGCACTGTCTGCTTTTCCAGAGGACCCAAGTTTGATTCGTAGCACTTACATGATGGCTCACAGCTGCCTAAAACTCCAGTTCCAGGGGATCCAGTGCCTGCTCCTGAGTGAGTGCGTGGATGCAAGGCCAGGCTCGGGCACAGGCAGAAGCTGCTTTCTCTGGGAGCTTTTGACGGTTTCCTATGAGGCTCACAATTGTGAGTCCTGGTGTCTTCTCCCAACTTCCACACTCTTGGAAAACAGTGCTAGACAGGATTCCTGTTCTCTGATACCTAGCTCTCTTTACTTCTGGGGATAGGGATACCATTTTTCTCAGTACACATAAAGTTGGGCAACAACCATGTAACTTGTTGGGTTAACAAATACCAGGAATGTAAAGTAAAAAAAAAAGAAATAAAAGAAAAGAAAAGTGATTTTAAAGTTAATATCACAGTTATTCCAAACTACCCTTGAGCAGAAAGGCAAGGGAGGCATAATAAGGACAGGAGCAGAAGCCCGTGTGGCTGAGAACGGAAGGGAGAGGGTGAAGCGTGGCCAGTGACTTGTCTAATCTGCCAGTAAGGATGAGACCCTGCAGCTGAACAGTCCAAGAGAATAAAGAGGAGGCATTGACTTCTCACCAGGAATAAAAGGAAAATCATTTACAAAAACAAAAAGCTGCACAGACATGAGGTCCATACTTAAGGAAGGTTCCTTGGGGATTTGATAGCAGGGAGTGGAACCAGCCCATGAGAGAGAAGTGTGTTGCAGCCAACATAGCTGAAAGGAGCTGGAGATCTGAAGAGTGTTTTGACATCAGATATGGAGATGCAGAGTTTGGAGTTTGCCTCGCTAGTTTTTGGTCTTGCTTTGGTCCAGTACTTCCTTATATGCTCCCTTTCCTATGTTTTAGAATGGTAATGTATACCCTGTGCCATTATATGTTGGAAGTATGTGATCTTCTTTTTGATTTTGATTTTACAGGACATTACAGTTAAGAGATTACATGAATCTCAGAAGAGACTTTGAACTTGAGACTTTTAAATAAGTTTGAGACTGTTATAGACTATGGGGACTTTTGAAGTTAAACTGAATGCGTTTTTGCATTATGATATGGCTATAAGCCTATGGGGACCAGGGAATGGAGTGTGGTGGTTTGAAAGAAAATGTCCCCCATAGAAAGTGGTACTATTGGGAGGCGTGGCTTTGTTGGAGTAGGTGTGTCCTTATTGTGGGAAGTGTGTTGCTGTGGGGGTGGGCTTTGAGGTCTCCTTTGCTCAACCTAGACCCAGTGACACAGTTCACTTCCTGTTACCTCAGCTCCTTCTCCAGCACCATGTCGGTGCATGCTGCATTGTCCCACCACGATGATAATGGACTAAACCTCTGAAACTGTAAGCTACCTAATTAGATGCTTTCACTTATAAGAGTTGCTATGGCCATGGTATCTCTTCACAGCATAGAAACCCTAACAAGTACTTGGGGAACCTCACACTATACTCCTACATAACACATAGATTAAAGAATCCTTAAGAGAAATTATAAAGAAATAAACTCAGAAGTTACTGTAAACATCACTCTCTACTAGAATATCACATATCAGATTTTATCATGGTTTCTACAACTTTCTATGATTTCATTTTTTGGTCAGAGAATAAGTGTTGTGTTGCTCTTTACAAGTGATATTTAAAAGGTGGAATTGAAGGCTCTGGCAATAGCGCTCAGCCATGCTAGAGTGGGGTGTGAAGACTTACAGTTTGGGGTTGGCTGAAGAATCTTTTGTGGTTGATTCATAGTTTCAAGTCCATTAAAATGAATAGAAACTGCAGAAAATTCAGCATGTTTGAGAGCTAATGAGAGTGTTTTGGTGTGAAGCCTGAAGCGTGGTGGTGGCATCTCTTTCTTCAATGTGTTGGGCTGGCTTGAGAGTGTTGGGACAACTTAAACGTTCAGAACAGAGTGGCTCCCACAGAGAGAAGGCAACAAGACAAAAGACAGAAACCAACAGCAACACTGAAGAGATCAACAGAAGAAGAGAAGCAGGAGGTTGATGGGAGAGAAGAAGCAACAGCTGAGGGAGGAGTCTCAGTGTAAGAAGAGTGAGGAGGGGGACAGAGACGACACCACCTTATCAGGGATTCTGAGGTTGAGTTTCCCCCACTGCAGCTGCAGCTTCTCCACTTACCCTGATGCCAAACTGCAGTGGGCAGAGCTATGAGGAGGGGACATCAAAAAGCATGATTCTTTTGAAAGTTGTCGAGTGTGTGTGTGTGTGTGTGCGTGCGCGCATGTGTGTTGCGGGTGGGGAGGTTATCCATTGATGAGGAAGGTAAAGATAAGGGATGCTTTCTCTGTTCATTTTGTTTCCTAAGAGTTGGAGCACTTTGATCACACACCAGCAGGAAGAGGTGGCAGTTTGAAAGAAGGGAAAGGAAAGTCTCTGGATGGAGAAAATCAAGTCAAACACGGAGATACTGGTCCGGCAGTGTTAAAAGAATACATCCCCTGAAGGAGTTGTCATGGAGACTAGCTGAATGGGGAAGCTAGCAAGGTGGCAGCTCAAGCCTGGCCTATTGTAGATATGGGTATAGAGCCTAAAGCTATGGGCCCATTTCATGTCTGCATGTGTGAGGAAGTAATCCTTCACCGACCTCTAATCATGCAGGAGCAGGTGTAGGCGACAAGTCAACAGCAGGCCCCTCAGCCCAGGGATGCTCCAGACAGCATCCACATGCGTGTTCCTCACTAAGGTAGACATTCTTCCTCATAGACCTCCCTTTATTCGGTCCTGACAGCCCCTTATGACATTTAAGGGCGAGTCACTTATGAAAAGATTAATAAGAAAGATTGCTTCTATTAGAGGTAACACCCATGACCATGAACTAAATAAAATATTAATTTAGTGGGAGGATCTGTAGCCTGTCAGAACATGGGTGTGGAAGAGGGGAAGGAGGGAGTGACAGGAGGTGGTGCTGGCGTGAAGGAAAGGGCTGGATGCTGGCAAAATCTAAATCCTGTAATGCCTCTGGCTCACTGTGTAGGGAACTGTAGGTTCTGGATAAGTTGAATAGCTCTGACTCCATTTTTTTTCTCTCTCTCTCTCTTTCTCGTGATTGAGTGAAATAACTAAAGGTTGTGAAGCTGAGTCTGAGAATGTCACAAATGTGATGTTATGAGTTCTCCTTGGGGCCACTGAGCCAAGCTCACACCACTGACTCTGCTGGACTCCATGGAGCTGTCCCACAGGCCTCAACCATGGGTTTGCCTCCCGGGTAGAGTCTCTAAGCACACCAGTGCAGGGAGGCCACAATCCTCTGAGCATTTGTCTTACAGCTCATGTGAGTGAGGGAGCCCCAAAGCATGAAGGGAAAGCATGGGCTCTAGGGGTTTGGGAGGGGCTCGTTCCACTATCACCAGCCATGTGCCTCGTTTAAGTTAAAGGGCTCCCCGGACCTCTTCCAGTATCCATGCTGTGTACTTACATCACCTCTCAAGAGGGCCCACCTGTGGAGCCCAGTGCTTGATGGGAGTACAGGATGCCTTGTTTGGGGAGGCTGGCTTTTTCTTCTATCTCCCTTTTTTCTTGTGTGTGTGCACACACACTCATCTATCTGTGCCTGGATGTCAGAGGTCAATGTCAAGTATCCTCCTCAATTATTCTCCACTTTGTTTTTGTGAGGCAGGGCTTCTTGCTGAGCCTGGAGCTCACTGATTGGCTACGCTGGCTGGCTAGCAAGCCCCAGAGACTCTCCTGCTTCTGCCTCTCTGGTGTTGGAGTTGAAGGCATGCATTGTCACTTCCTACACTAGAACCTGGGCCCTGGAGGACCACCCTGCGCCTACGACACCAAGGCAGCACGGGCTTTCAGGCACATCTCCGTGCCTTGTGATACGAGCACGGGCTGCTTTACAACTGGAAATCTCCTACAGCACTTAGGCTTCACCCCACTAGAGCACAGTAAATCACCGTGCAGTGACTCCCAACACAGGCCTGAAGCTATCAACCTAGTAGCCCACTGTAGGGGGGAGGGTGTCAATGGGATTGTTGTCTTGAACTAGATGAAGACAATTGCTTTTCACTCCAATCCAGCAGAAACTGTGAAGGGAAAACACCCCAGAGT